CCAAGATGACACATAAAAACAGATCAGCTGAAAGTTTCTGCTTCAAACAGGACGTTCTCAGACAGAAGAACCCACCAAGCCCAGAGGTAAAGTTGTAAAGGAGTTTAAAGGGTCAAATTATAGAACAATTTTAACAACTTTGCATGTCTCACAGAGACACCATTCTGTCCTATAGAATAAAGACAGTGTTTGGCACGTTCTCAGAGCTACGAAGACATCCCTGTGGACTAAACCGACAAGCCAAGAAAAGTGAGCATCCAGGAGGCCCACTGTAAATCTGGAGAAGATGCAGAGACTCATAACTCAAATTGAATAATCTGTCGGCACACCTGAGGTTTAACTTAGTTGTATAACACCCTGTTTGAAATAATGTCAAGAAGAAAGCAACGACTGAAAAAAGACCTCAAGAAGACCAGCTTGTAGTTTACCAGAATCCACATAGGAATAGAGCAAACATGTGAAAGACCGAGGTCTGGTTAGAGGAGACCAAAACGTAACTTTTTGGGTGACATGTCTAACACTACTGGCCTGGACTTAAGAGAATTCAAATATGAAGTGCTAAACTGCTTGTGTAAAAGTCATGCACACTAAGCTACATAAATGAGAATTTCTTTTTATGAGCTGCTGGATATCATTCTAGACAAACTGTAGAACAAAGCAGCCGTAAAATAAAAATCAAGTTTGAAACCATGCAGTGGGAGGTTCTGGTGGAGGATCAAAATAAACGCACAAGGAGTCATTCTGCTCAGCAGAGCATTTAGTTGTGCTTTCATAGGTTCACTTTAAAGGCAGTGAACCTTTGCTCAACGTGTTTCATACAAGTTGATCGGGAGGTGTGTGTGTGTGTGTGTGTGTGTGTGTGTGTGTGTGTGTGTGTGTGTGTGTGTGCGTGTGTGTGTGTGTGTGTGTGTGTGTGTGTGTGTGTGTGTGTGTGTGTGTGTGTGTGTGTGTGTGTGTGTGTCTTTCTTGCTTGACATAGACATTGGAATAGACATTCTACAAAAAGTAGCTCACCCACAGTGATTATATAAATGGCAGTACAAGTGAATGTTCTCTGCAAGAGCACTTTCCAAACCATTCACTTTCAAGCTGGGTTTATAGTTGATGCATTGAACTGAGTGTGAGGATCCTGGTTCCCATTGCCCACCCCTGCACATTGGCCTTGGCACTCTCTCATGGCACTTGGTCATTCACCTCCACTCTGTAACCCAGTGCGGGTCGGGTGCAGCACCTCTCTCTCAAACTGGACGATTTGGAAGGTGCTCTTGCAGAGCAGAGGGATAATTTTCAAAGAACACTGCACCAATTTTTGGATCAATTATAAAAGTCACTCAACTTTCCTGGCTAGTGCGTGCACAAGATCCTTTAAAAGTGCGACTATACTTCAGCCTCTAGCATTGCCTTAAGAAATGCCTTTTGGAGACACTAAAGGCATCCAGACTGTGATGATGCTGATCAGAAGCTGCTGCAGCCACAAAGACATCAGACAGATGCACTATGGGTCACAGAGCTGTATACAGTATTGTGCTTACGCTATGCCATGACATGCGGGTCACCGTAATGAACACAGCTCTGTGTCTGGGCTGCCATTGTCTATCAGTGACATAACAGCAGACAGGAGATCATTTCGTGGGAGTGGTCATTAACCTGACCTCTGCTGGCACATTAAAAGGGAGGAGAGTGGTGGACACCACAGCAATCTGCGAAAATACAAAGCCACAAATAAGAGATTCGTCTTCTGGCAGCATAAAACACACAGTCAGAGCTACAACAGTGTGATTAGATCAAAATGATCAAATCTAAGTTCTGCCATATGGAGTATGTAGGAACACTACAAATGTCTGTTAATTACATCCAATATGAATCAGCAGGATTTACTTTGTCAAGAAGAATTTGCATAAATATCTGCTGGTTCTTCTGCAGAGGGACTCCTGTTATTTTCACAGGAACGTCTGGCCTCTTTATCACCAACTGCAGTTTGTGTAGACATCTTTGCAGAAGTACTAACGTACTTATCAAGTACATAGAAGACAGGAAACATTGTTCAACTGGTAGCCACATGACCCCGCTGTCCGGAACACACAGAGACAACGAGGCTCCGCCTTTATTGCTTTTATAACAGAGCGTAACCTTCCTCTTTACAAAGTCGTGCCAACTAAATTACAACAGTGGCAAACATCTGAGACCTGAGAAGGTGGTAGAGACAAAACCCAAAAGGTTTACAGCTGTGATGACAAAAAAAAAGGGTCTGGAAAGTGGAAACGAATCTACTCTTCTGAAATATTATTACTCAGTGTACAGAAGCAAAAGATAAAAAATCACTGAATATTTGCAATCAAAACCAGTAAGTATCTAAAAATAAACTATATATAAAAATAAGACATTAACTAAAGCACACACACACAAAAACAGATCAAGCTCCAGTGAACAACGGCTGTGGAGCCATGATGGGTAGAGTCAGATCAGACTGAAGGGGTGTTAGTGCTCTCTGATGTGTGTGGTCTGTGGTGTCAGCTTCAGCTTCCTGCTCACACATCTCACTCCTCCACCAGAGGACCATTTGACTCGTTTGCATGAGAAAGAGACACCTTTGGTGGGGTGTTGTTTGTGTGTGGGCTCCAGGCACGACCCATCACGGTGGCATCCAAACAACCTGCTTCTGTGTCAGGCGTCTAGCTGCTGGAGGCGACTGGCCCATTCGCCTGCTATTGCATTCGAGACCCAAGGCTGCAGTTCCCAGCCTCGGATCTGAGTGTTTTCATTGTTAATAGTCTGCACCTACAGGTGACAGATACACACAGGCTTCCTCTACTCACACTCTGCCGACCACCAACCTACCCCTACATGCACACACGCATACGCATGCACGGATATTCACATGGTATGTCTTTCTACCTTCACAAGAGCCTTGAATTGACTTCCATTCATTTTTTAATCATTTCTTCAGCCTAATCTTAACCTAAACTCTATTCACACCTCAGTCCTAAACCCAACCCACAACCCAAAACAACAACTCTTCCCAGGCTTTGGGCCCTGCACACAAATGGTTCTAGGTCCTTTCAAATATATATTTATTGATTATTAACCATATAATGACAGAAATATTACAAGACCATGCACAATACCTAAATTTGAACAAATTTTAGTCCACAAACAGGAGATTCACCCAGCAAAATTGAAACTTATATAAAATAAATCTAATTTGCACAGCAGAAAAAAGATGCAACAAATAAATAATGCCATTTAAAATAATACTATGAAAATAACATCAATTAGTCGCATAAATGTATGAAAGAAAAGTTAATTAATTAATTTAAAAATAGATGGACTACTTATAGAGATAATAGCAATAGATTTCTCATAAACAATTAAGAAGGGATACCAAACTTTATGAAATCTATTTTCTAAGTGGTTGTCGGTCAAATCAACAACTTTATCTATTTAGCCTGAATATTTCGAATTTATTTATTTATTTGTTTGTCTGTTTGTTTGTTTATTTATTTTTTACATTGTGTAGCTTCAATACAGAGAGAAAAAAATTAGGTTTTTGTATTACTGTTATGTTATAATACACATTAGTTATATCGATTTGACATGTCTATATAATGTCACATAAGCCATTAAGGCCAAAAGTTGCCAAACTGATGCAGACAGTGATGCAGTGCCCCCTAGAGGTACAAACTGTTACAGCATGGTGACTGCCAAGAAGGAAGTGTCAATGCAATGCAGTGATCTCTGGATCATCTCTGACACTCTCCAACTGTCTATGGCTTTTAACTGAAAGTATTTGAAGACTCAGCAGCATTCTTTCAGTACACAGTCCCTAGTGGAATTATAAATGTGGATTTGGAAATTAATCAAATCCAACAGTCAGATTCCATGGTAAGGTTAGGGTTAGTTCAAGTCAGGTTTAGTTTATTCTAAGTTTTTTAATAAGTTTAAGGAAACTGGTTAGCTTGCATCAAGCACTCCTCGACAAACATGCAGCAACATTCTCGCTTTCATCGTTGTTGCCTTTTAAGCAATCTCGCATAATGAGAATGCTTGTTATGGGAGATTGCTGTAACAGGATCGGTGAGAGGTCTGGGCTTTTAGAGTAGACCGCTCCAGAACATCCACCTTCTTGTCTTCAACTTGCTGGAAAATAAATGTTCTCTAAAGTCATAGTTCTCCTGAAGTTAGAAACTAATCATTATTTTGCCTTCCAGGGCCTGCTGCTGTGAAGCATCCCCACAGCATGATGCTGCCAACACCATACTTCACAGTGGGGATGGTGTGGACTACTGATTAACCAGTAAATGGACCTCAGGTGGTCTCCATGCCTCTCATTGTGAGACCACCAGCACCAGTTGGCTGGACCTCTGTCGCATCAGGTCAATTATCATCAGTGGTGAATATTTACGTAACCACTTCTGTTAGGTTAAATATTTGTATTTGTGGGATAAATTTTCATCTCATAGTGTGATTAATTACTTAAGGTTAAAAATGTGTTTTCTAATAAAAGTATGCCATTATACTAATAAAATTGGAATTTAAAAGGGAAAAAACAAATTTTATGTTTTACTGTCACAGTGACTTGCTGCACTCTGAGCTCAGCTTCATTATTTTGTTTATCCCTGAATATTGAGAAAACTCTGTTGTGGACTGAGCAGTAATGAAGCAGATCAAGAGTAGTTGGATTTATTTTTTATTTTTTGAAAAGGCTCTAGGCTGTTCAGCAGTTAAAATGATTAAAAAAATCTTTTGCGATTTTAAGTATTGTCATTTCTGTGGCTTGCAAATTATTTCGTAAATTATTTAATCACACACATCACTGATGTGTGATTAAGTAATGTGCTCAATCAGAAGTTATTCTGAGCCTTTGAAATGATTTAGAAATCAGTCGACACGTTTGAGGTGAACGGATCAGATAAAATCCCTAAAACATACATCGACATCTGAGGTTGTCGGTTGATTGATGGTTATAGCATTTTTGATGTCATGATCGTACAAAACTTAACTCCAGTTTTATTTCTTTATAGCAGAGTACACACAGTCAGTCATTGTATTTCTCTGGTCTTGTCTTGTTGAAGTGTGAACCTTCTGGAGCCTCAAACCTGCATACTGGAGTTCTTCATCTTGGTCTTCCCTCTAATAGTACAAACACAAACACATTCATTTTACCTATGAACATTTAATAGGTAAAATGAAAAAGTGTCCAGAGAAATTTTATGAAATAAACTAAAATCAGTAATAGAGACCATAAAAACCTCTGCAGTTCTTGTGTCAGGATGGGAGAGTCTGGCATGAGGTTCTAAAGAAGAACACAAATTTAGTTTCCGATGCCGTTTTCAGTTGGCAGAGATGAGAAACAAGCAGCTGTGGTACCTGAGGTGTTGGAGTTCTTTCTCTTATATATCCTGAACAACAAGAGAGCTTGAAAGAAACTCAAGGTGGAAGTGAAGGCCAAAGCTCCAGTAAGAAGATGCAGAGAATTGACCTCATCTGTAAAAACATCAGGCAGGAGAGAGAGAAAATATTTGTTACTTTTAGTCAGAAAAAAGAATCTTCACAATGCCTTGTAAACATTTAGTTGCTAACACGCCTTGGACTAGGACACTAGGACACTGAATTTATTGAACTGGAGAACTCCTTCAGTGACAGTCTGCTGCATGCTGGGTACGCCAAGGAGAGTTACCAGAGAAATATCCTTTCAGCCTCTGTTAGACTCTAGAACCGTCACTCCTCCCATTTCTGCTGCTATTTCACACATTTTTCTACACTGCATTGATATACAGTTTTCTAAACTGTCTATGTTCAATACACATGAACATTATGCACACTGAAAAGAAATCATCCATACACATCCATAATTGTTAAAACGATTTGTATTTATATATATGAGCTTTCCCAGTTAGGTTAATGAAGTAACATTCTATTCTATTGTAATACCATTGATGATTCACAAAATTTATTGCAAGTAAAAATCAGAAGGATGTGTAAACAAGCGTATTTATTTATTATTAGAAAGCAATAGTGATTACACAGCATCATGAAGAGAAAGTAGTGGAGAAGTTGAACTATAAAGTGTGCACTTCATACTTAAAGTGTGGACTTTATGGAAGAGAGGCGAGCAGAGTGACATCACTGAGAGAAAGGCATTAGAAGTCCAGTTTGAGGTTTTTATGCAGCCATGTGTGTGTTCTGGTTAGACATGATGAAAATGAAACTTATTGGGTCACATGCGAAATGTTGTGGTGAGGAAAAAAATGGCCTTAAACACCAAAGTGAGACATGGTGGTCACAGTGTCATGATATGAGGCTTTAGTTCTGTGAGGACAGGGAAGTTGGGGAAGTGATTCCTCTAAAGTCTTTACTCTTTGATGCTGACTACATCATATTTCAGATTCTGGAAAACTATGAATCATATTTTTCCAAAGCATTGTGCTTACCTTTAAAGCCCAGTTTGGTTCCATTTCCAAACACTATGTGTCCACAGGAAACCACAGCACAATAGTAAGATCCAGCCTGAGACCCAGTCAGGTTCTGCAGCAGCAGGCTGTACAGACATGAACGGGTTTGCTCCCGAGTTTTCCGTCCACACTGATCGTTCCTGTGGCTGTAAAGGAGTCCTGGAACTGATTCTCCATTGTTCCTGAACCAGTAAACACTGTGTTCTCCATCACAGCTCCCAGTTTCCACTGTACAGGTTAGATTCACATGACCTCCCAGCTGGACGGCCTCATATTCTACCTGATGGACCAGAGTCTGCATGTTCGAGTCTGAACCCTTCACGAACACCGTAGTGCCATTTCCAAATTTGAAATCAAACAAGTAACCACTGGAGCAGTAGTAAGTTGCTGCGTCTGAAGGCTGCAGCTCGGTAATAATCAGGTGGTTTTTACCTTTTCCAGAGTCCAGGCTGAAACGTGGATTGTTTTTAAATTCGTTGTAAAAAGTAAGCTGTCCATATTTGAACACAGTGGAAATGAGTTGTGGTTTTTGTCCCAAGGTTAGCTTATACCAGCTGAACTTGGCAGCCTCATCAGTTTCATAGGAGCATTCCAAAGTCAAAGTCTCTCCAGCTTCAGCTGACAAGACGCTGCTGTTCTGACGGACAGCCGAGGAGACGTTTTTTGTCTGAGCTGAGGAAAGAAAAAGGCCAAATGAATCACACCCATAATTAACACATGAAACCAAAGTCACAAGCTTCAAAGGAATTACACTGAAGACACAAAAGCACAAACTCACCCATGTTCACCAGGAGCAGGCATGTCAGCCAGAAGACGAAATGTGCAGGCGTCATCTTGGTCAAACTGCTGAATGAAAGGAACTTCAATCCGTCCTTCACTTTATAGTCAAGACCACTTGGTAGAGTAGTAGGAGTGACAGCATGTCATGTTCAGGAAACATGATCACTTATTCACTGACAGTTGTTGGTCATGCTCAGAAAACAAGACCTCAAATTGGCAGAAGTGGATTGCAGACCACAAATTTTGGGGGATTTTTTTTGGGGGGGGGATTCCAGGGCGTTTAAAGCAATTCAGTTTTAGTGAATATGCATCATCAAACATCAGAGCTGAGTTGAAAATAAAATCTGAAATTTTTAACAGTTAACAGTTCCCCGCCTACAAATATTTTATGCAGAAATTACAGTTTATTTCAGAACAGATTTTCAACAAATCACTTGCATGTAAAACACTGTATTACACAGCTGCTGAGGTTGTAGAAAAGTAAAAGCAACATTAACTTGACATCAGTCCAACTCAAATAAACCTGAAGGAATGGTTTTCATTCATTTCCAGTCATCTGCTGTAACTGGGCAGATTCCTAAATAACTTTCTTTAGGTACCAGTTTAATCAGGGAGAGCACTCAAGAAACTCTATGCTGCTCTGTTATGTTATGTAAATGTTTCTTGGTAAAACAGAAAAAAGGAATCTGCAATTTTTATTATTTTACCCATAAGTAGCAAATGACCATCACTTTTTTGAAAATGGATTCCAATCCCGTGCACAAAGCATGTCTGCTGCATAAAAACAAAACTCCGTCATAAGGATTGAGTTTTTGTTTAGTTTGGAATACTTTGATTTCATTCTTGCAGAACATACAGATGAAAACGTCATAAAACAGACAAGTGCTTATAAGACTCCATGTCTTGACTTCATAAGAAACCATCAAAACATAAGAATAAGCAAGAAGCAATAACCAAAGGAATAGACGAATAAGTCATCACTTCACCACCATGTAAACACAAATTAAACAAATTTAGCTTCCTGGAAAAGGAAAAACCCATATGACATTAAAGAACTCAGAAACATGCGTCTTTCTGATAATTAATTTACCATTTTTAAGGTCAGAAAAAAATGTGTACGTACATCAGCTTGCACTCCATTTTTGTTGTTTGTACAGTAGAATATTTTAAACTGCATTGATAAATAATTAAAACATGCATTTTTACTATTATTATTACACTTATTGTACAATTTGATCAATTGTATTTGCTTTGCACTTTTGTAATTTATTCAGCAACATGAAGTGATTTTTTTAACCTTTCTGTAGAATAAGGAGGTTCTGTATGTTTCTCTGATTATGAAAAAAATCACAATGAATTACTTATGAAATCAATGTGTAAATTCATTAAGCAGCAGCTTTGATTTGTCAACAGGATCAGAGATCTATATTTGAGCAATTAAGTGTTTAAGTTCTTTCTGTCAAATTTCAAAAACACTCAAGCTTATCTTCAGCCAGGAGACAGATTTAAACCAGCAACTGGTCAACCACATCAGTGGATCGTCTTTCTTCAGAGATGCAGTTCCTGTCTTCATCAGGATGAGGACGTCTTCCCAAATGCACGCCCTGCACACTAGAGGCAGACAGGAAGTCCTGTGTTCACCTGGAGCTGTGAAGTAAAAGGAGCTAACAGTCCATTCTGGGATTCAGAGTCTCCTGGTTCTCTATGTAGCTCAGAACACAAGGAATGAGGTAACACTACTAGTGATGACTTAAAGCTACAGTATGTCACTTAATAAAGAATATGTTATTAACTTATGTATTAAAACTGTCTCCATGTCATGACAATTTGTTGAGTCAGATAATCTGTGAAATGATCGTCCTCCCTCACTTTCTCTCTCTGCTGTTGTTGTTGTCTGAAGAAACACATTAATCCCAACCAAGAACAACCAATCAGAGCCAGGAGGAGGGGCTTAGCACTGCCAATCAGTCTCACACACTTGCTTCTAAATGGGCTAATGGGGGAGAAATGACTTACCATCACAGGAAAACTGCTTCTCTGCTTTCATCAGTGGCTATGCTAACTAGCATGAGCATTCATAGCAGGATCTGCTGATGGGGAGAAACTGCAGGAGGAGAGGTGAGATGACCAGCGCCATACAAAATTGCGATTGACAGCACTAAGACCCGCCTCCTGACTCTAATTGGTTGTTTCTAGTTAGCACTGGGAGAAGGCATTTCTCCCACACGTGATTTTTCTCATAAAATGTCGTCATGACATAGTGACAGATTCAACAAATATGTGACAGCTGGACATAGACCAGCACCCCTTCTGACCAATGGGATAAAGGTGCAAGAAAATGGATGATTGGAAGCACAAAATACTTAAACTTGGATAAAAAGGCCAAATCAAAACTTATTTTGATTTGGCCTTGCAAATCAAAAGTGTGCCCTGCACACTTTTGATTTGCAGGTGGATAAAAAGGCCAAATCAAAACTTATTTTGATTTGGCCTTTTTATCCACCTTTTGTCTCAGAAGCTTCATATCTGCTTAGATCAAAACCACATGTATCACTATGTGGGAGTGAAGACTTTGATTTGTGGGTATAAAGATCTGAAAACCATCTTCCTCCCTCTTCACAGTCGTGAACAACTTTGTGCTGGCTGAAAAGTTTGAGTTTTCCAACTCATGAAGTCAGAAATGAACATCATTGCTGACGCATTGTTAAGACTATTTAGCATACGCTGGTCTTTGGGGGTCGTAGTGTCAAGTGAAGTAAATGGAAACAAGGCGGAGGCTTCCTGTTCGCTGACCTCACAGAGGTTCATGACAGAAGAGTGTTACTGGTTCACCGTTGGTCTCTCAACCACAAAGTAGCATCTGCTGAGTTTTTTTTTTTTTTTTTTTTTTAGACAACATGTTAGCAGTAAACAGCCTGAAGATCAGCAGGCTCCATCGCTTCACTCAGAACATGTGTTTGCTTCAGACACATGAACATTTTATCTGTGATGATGTTGGTTGATTTTGTTTATAGTTGATTAAGGCAGGAGTGTGTCTTTCATTTTTACATTTATTATCTCTTTTTGCTGGAGAGGCACCATTTATACATTTTCAATTTGAAAATGTAGCAAGTAATATCTTATTGATCACCTGACAATGAGGTTAGTTCACTGTAAGGCCTGATAAACCCAACATAGGTTTTAATTCTTATAATAGACCTTTTTATTTGTGGACATTAGAACCTGATGACACTACACTGTAGGATCAATCTGGAATGTGGTTTATAATTAAATGTCTTAGTATGATTGCATAAATTGGTTTAATCGTATACAATTGAATATTAATAAATGTGATATCTTGGTTCCTGCTTGTCTCTGAGTGTCATTGTGTTCACACCAGACCTGACATGATCAAGTTTTGGTCAGAGACAAGTCATTGTGGGTTTGGGCTTCTGGTCAGGTTTCATGTGTTTGAGCTCAGCCAGCACTGATGATTCTGGTAATGGAAACTTGAACTGTGCAGACCACACCACCTCCACCACACAGGTGGAGGAAGGCCTGGTAAACAGTAAGGCAACGCTGCAGACTAAATGAGACAACCTTTTGGTTGATACGTTCAGATGACTGGAGACGTTTATTGCATCTAGCAACTAGATGCTAAATTTAACTAGCCGACAGTTTGCAAGGTCGCACTCACACACATATCCATGAACATAACCTACTTGTTTTTGGAGCCTCAGCATAAAACCATCTAAGAACTGAAAGAAATATTCAGGTTTGACATATATATATGAATATATTTTCATTGAAATAAAAGTCAGGAGTCCAGTGCCCCCTGCTGACCAATAGCTTTAGTCCACTCATTTCAAATCACTGATGATTTAATCTGAAGAAACACACTGAGCACACTCGTTGGGAGGAAAGCTGCCATTTTCTCCCACGTTGATAGTGTGGTTATGTCCAAGTTCTAAGACAGAATGTTTCAAAATGGAAACATTAATTATTTTAATGTCATATTTGCCATATTTATCAGTTATAGTGAATGATGGTCAAAAGTAGTTAATTTTAAAGGTGCATAGCACTAATTATAGCACTGTTTGCCTTTAAGGTTGCTTCTCTCTGCAAACTGCAGTGACAAACTCAGCCTTCACTACGTTAAACTGATAAAACATGCTGTGTTTTTAATCCCATAAGGTTTTTTTTATTATTATTATTTGGTGCTGAAATAAAAAGCAGCTGTACTTAGTTCAGCTGTTTGACAGCAGGGAGCAGCTTCCTGTCCATCCTCCATACAAATAACTGATCTAAGGAATCAAATGTCAACAATTGGTTCCCACAGCACTTGGATGTGGTGATTGAAGAGATCTGTATTTCAAATAAAAAAAGATCTAAGAAGTGTTGCGAAGTAAACATTTGCTTGCTTGAAAGGCGTAGGGCCCACATGCTGCGGTCAGACTTAAAAAGTTTGCTTCTGTTCTCTGAAGCTCAAACAATGTGTGTCTCTGCTCTGCGCGTCTAAAGACTTTGGCTTTGAGCTTTGACCTTTGCTTTTGGAACCAAATCATAAAGAAGATCTTATGATTTGCAAGTGCAAGCCGTGATGCTCAGATGCTCACTTCAACGTTAGACTCAATGTATTTTTAGTTCTGCAGCTGACTAATACAGAAAGCAGAGTGTTGTTGTTGCCGAGTTCCCGCTCCGGCCCGGGCCGCTCACATCGACCTCAGCACCGGTGGTTTGCCGGCTCCACCTCTCCTCCGTCCTGACAGGATGTCTCTGTGGTCAGAGCTATGATGCAGATTGTTTTTCTCCTGCAGCTTTTCAACAGCGGCTCTGCTGATACTTTGACATTTATATTAGCAAAGTAAAACCCAATATATTAGCTGTGTTTTCCGTTACAAATGTGTGAAAATCTTTGTCTGTTTTCTGCTAATGTCAAAGAAACACAACTTCTCAATTGCACAGTTTCCATTAAATAAGAGATTAATATTTTTGCAAGCTTCTGCATCTCTGCACATGCAGCTTGAAAACAGAAAACGATCACCATGAAAACCTCCCATGGTCTAAAACAGGGGTGTCAAACTCCAGTCCTCGAGGGCCGGTGTCCTGCGACGTTTAGATGTGCCTCTGCTGCACCACCTGAATAGAATAATTAGATCATTAAGGCTTTGGAGAACTGATCTACACAAGAAGGAGGTAATTAAACCATTTCATTCCGGTGTTTTGTACCTGGAATGAAATGATACACATAAAAACTGCAGGACAGCAGCCCTTGAGGACTGGAGTTTGACATATGTGGTCTAAAAATATCACCACTGTCGCAGAGTGCATCTTTCATTCTTATGTTGTCTCTTGTTTACCCCCAACTCATGTGGGGAAGGTGGTGGTGTGACCTGCACAGCTGAAGTTTCCACCGGGGGAAGCGTGAGTTTCAGGTCAGCACAGGAAACCCGCCCTGAAAGCCTCTTGTCACGGCAAGATATGATCAAATATGGCTTTGCAGGAGTTTTTGTGTGAACAATCTGAACAGCAAAAATGACCAGAACAAATATCAGAATCAGCTTTGTGAAGACAAGAAATGAGGCGGTGTGAGAGTCGATACCACAGAGTGAAATGAACAAAAAGTGAAAGTGTGAAATGAACAAGACCCAATTAGGGCTGGACAATAAATCAGTAACAATATAAATATTGTGAGAGACAAATTATCAAGATGATTAAATAATATGTCTGATAGAATTTTCAGTAATTTCACTGAACTCTGAGCCAGAACTGCATAGAATTCTGGGAGATGTAGGCATAGAAAAGGCTTTCTTCATTCAGCCTCTCACTGCCAGCTAAGTTAAGTCACTTAACTAGCAACCAGAGAGTTGCTGGGTAACTTTGTGGTTACTGAGCAACAACCTATTGAGCAGTTTCAGGTTTCACCCTTGTGCCTCATAACTGTTTCAAAATAAAAACCAAGATGGAGTTAAAACTGTAGATAAAACAAGTAAAGGTCATACTACCAGTTTGGCTGTGTGTCAAATATTTAGAACAAAAAAGTTATTAATAATTATCAATATTGACAAAGGCTGATATCGACTGATATGAATATAGATTATATCTTGATAGGTTTTTCAGCCATATTGTCCAGCCCTGGTCTCAATAAACTTTAAAATGTTGTCAAAGAACAATTATTGGGAGACATTCATGCAACAACAGTCTGTTACTAATATAGATGATGTATTTTTTTTAAAAGAGTCATAAAGAAAAGAGCTAATAGTAAAGACTTTGATCTGCAAAGTTTCCTAAAGATGGACAGCTTTGTCTCAGCATTGGGTTTGCACTGCAGTCATGCAGGATTTTTAGGTGAACACAGAGATATTTATAATCCTGCATCAGGTCCACTTCCTTTCCCATGATGAAAATAGTTACAAAACCCTTCAATGAAAACGTTCATCTCCTTTGTTCACAGATCTCAGTGAACATATCATGCCACACAGCAGTGTGGCACCAGTTTTCTGCAGGCCGTCTCACTGATGCAACCAACAACTGCAGAGTCATCTCAGTATTTCTGCAGATGACAGGCCTGCCTTCTACCGGAAACCTGAAATGTGTAGAGTAAAAAGGAACGGTGAATAGTAAAAGGACAGGAAATGGGGAGGAGAGAGAAGGAGAAGACAGGCAGCCAATGACCCAAGACTGGGAATCAAACCCAGATGGGCCGCAGTGAAGACCACAGCCTCAGCACCTGGTCCTTTTGCTCTACCAGCTGATCCACAGGATGTGACTGCTGGTTGCATTGCTAAAGAAGTGGAGTCATGGTGAATATCACCACATAGCAGTGGAAAGAGATACCATGCTTTCTCACTACGACGAGCATGTATTGATAAACTGTAAAGGGTCGTTTGGGACATTAACTACTTTTTCATACATAATATTGACTATGGCATGAATAATATTTTCTGATTAGCATGGTATGTATACATAAATATTGTTTATGTATGTCATTATCTTTAAAACCAGCCCACATTCTTCATTCTCTGGAAGAACTAGCTAGATTTGTTCTGTAAGTACAATTTGTTTGTGAAATCTAAAAATGAATTTCATTTGAAAATTTTTGTATTTAAATTTATTACCCTGAATATTTAGTTGTATATACAATATCCTCCACTAAGTCTGAGATAAATTTTTATTATTGTAAGTATGTAATTAGAATAGTTTTAGCGTATACTGCATTCTTTAAAATACATATTTTTTGTTGGTGATTGCAAACTATTGATATTAATAAAAGAAAATAAATCAAATCGCCCTTAAGCCATCTGCTGAATCGGAAGCCATGTTGGTGTGATGTTGGATTACGGTAAACTATCAAAAGAACACATCAATGCGTCTAACACATGACTCAAACATTGTATGCCAAATATTTTTATAAGTAACATTTTCTTTAAAGAATAAAGTACGAGTCAAGGATGACCAGGCTACGTATGATAGTTTCCAGCCTATTCAAGGCTAACAGTAGGCTACTCATGCTAATGGCTAGCAGAGGAAGAAGGCTTTCCAGTGGGTGACCAGCCCAGGCATGCTAATCACCAGCCTCTCCGAAGCTAACACAAGTGCGTAGCTACCGTTTCATTAGCTTCGTTACCTTAGCGGCTAAGGCTTAGCCGGTTGCTCACTTGCTGGTACTGACCTATTATTGATCAGATCAGCGGCTAGCTTCAGAATAGGTATAGTTTACTATGACAAGGAAATAGCCACTGATATGTACTTAACAGTCTTTGTTTTGGTGCTGAAACTGTGCCATAGAATGTGTTCTATATGGTTCTATATGGTTCCATATGGTTACTGGCTAATGCATGTTGCTATATTTTGATGGGTATGAAGAAATAAACTAGCAGATAAAACTAGATAAAACAATAAAGGGTGAAGGGACAAATAACCTCAGTGTTTTTGTTGTCTTATATATACAGACATTTAGGCGACATGACTGGGAGCTATGAACTTGTGACGTTTCCTTAGTTGGAAATGTGTCACTTGGTACTAGCCAATCAACTGCAGTCTTGTCTCTTAAGAGTTGAGAAGGCATGTAGTTTCTTTCCACTCAACATTAAAATCTAAGCACAATGGCATCTGCACAGCTGGTTTTAGTGATATGTTTTCTTTTAGGAGAAATGGGTAAGATTTCTTTCGAATTCCTCAAATACTTTTCTTGTCAGGGTTTGATCTGAAACAGGCTTCTTTTAAACAACTTAATTCATTTTTGTATTTTTACTTTCCTTTCAGTTCAGGAGACACATCTGACAATGTCCACATCTCCGACTCAAGAGACTGGTTTTCTGTGGGCTCATGTTGGAGAAAAAGTGACAATGCAATGCACCTATGAAGACAATGAGCCGGCGTGGATCTGCTGGTACATGCAGACTCTGGGACAGAAGCCAAAGCTCATGTCCAGCATATTTGTGTACGGGGCAGAAATCAGTTTTTATGAGGAATTCAAGAATAACTCACATTACATCATAGAGAAAAAAGGACATTTGTATTATTTGACAATATTAGATCTAAAAATGTCAGATTCAGCTACATACTACTGTGCGCTTAGCTATAAACAAGTTGTGCATTTTGGAAAGGGAACTACAGTCAGTGTTAAAGGTCCAGGTTTTAACATCCAAGCTTCGGTCCATCAGCTGGAATCTGAAACCATCCAGCCAGGAATCTCTGTGACTCTGAACTGCACGGTAGAAATTGATAGTTGTGATGGAGAACACAACGTTTACTGGTTCAGGAACACAGAGGAATCTCAACCAGGACTCATTTACACCTATGGAAGCAGGAAGGATAAGTGTATAAGTAATTCCAGCACAAAAAGTCAAGTATGTGTGCACAGCCTGTCAATGAAGAACCTGAATGAGTCTCATTCTGGAACCTACTATTGCGCTGTTGCTTCATGTGGACATGTTGTGTTTGGAAATGGGACGATGCTGAGCCTCTCATGTAAGTAAAAGTATTTTGTGTTTCAAAATTAAATCTCGAATGAAGTGTGAACTCTGTTATTCTGACAGATGATAAAATGCACCTGCTCCATTTCTTGGCTGGATCTTTGACAACCCTCCTCATTGTTTTGTTGATTGGCTTGGGATGCAAACTAATTCAAAAGAACAACCAAAGTTCAGGTAATGTAATAAATAGTGCCTCATTCCTTTCTTGTTCAGTGACAATGTATTTTCACTGAACACAAATATCATATATATTTTATATTCACACAAATTTTCTGTGTTTCGTAAGCAGAACCCAAACCTTCAACCGCCACCGAGGTGAGATTCTTCTCAATGAGTGACAGCCTAAAATGACGGCTATCATGCAGTTAAATCTCAAAATTATTCATACATTTGGCAGATTAGGATTTAAATTTACTTTCATTCAACCAAAAAGTGTGTTTCTGGTAGGCATTGAAAATTATAAAAATTGGACAATTGTATTAGTTTTTTAAAAAATATTTATCGCTATTTTCTTCTTTACCTGCAATAAATCAATCAATACTTTAGTTCTTTACTACAGTTTTGCAAGTTTCCATTGACATTTGACACCCAAGTTTTTGAGAGTGAAAGGACTCCTAGAAATTACACTAATCTCAGCCCAGTAAAAAATTTTAATATTTCTTCCAGTCAATCGAAAAACATTGATTAAATATAATAATAACTGTAAACCAAAATCTGCCAGGCGTATAAATGGTTTTGGGCTTTAGCTGTGTGTGTGTTTTTTAATTTTTTTCGGCTTTTACTGTCATTTCCAGGACACCAACCAAGACACAGACAGAATCCACTATGCATCAATAAATATCGATCACTCTAATAGATCTAGAAGACAAAGAAGCAGCACAACAGCTGAGTGTGTTTACTCCAAGATAAGTCAGCACAAATGAACTATTTCTTCCTGGAAATCTTTTTTTTTTCCTATTTGATTACATTTGTTAAGCAGGATCAAAACACTTTGTTGATGTTCAGACAAGATTTTGGTATGAATGTTATTAGAGCAGCTGGAGTGACATTGTTTCCCATCTTGTCCTTTTCTTGCTATATTTGAAAAAAACAAACAAAAAAAATCTTAATGGGTCAGAAAGTGAAGAAGACGAGACATCTTTTGGAAAATCAAACTCACACCTTGAAGGTACTTTTGTCTCATATGCGTACAGTTTGATGTTTGATTCAGAGCATCGTGTTATTACAAGGTCTATATGCAGTTTTCTTATTTCAGGGTTTTAAGATGAGTGTTGAATGCTCTTTACAAAGTCTGTGAGCTTACGTTATTATTAGCTGAATTAAATAGACATAGCAACACTCAGTGGTGGGAGAAATCCGTGCCGACAGAGCGTCTGCATGCTGTAATCAGGTAATGTTAGCGCTGTATCTCTTTTTTGCAAAGTACCTTTGTTTTCTGTTTTTAACTTAATCTTTTTTTTTAGTAAATAACTTTGTGGAACCTTAAGGTGTGTGGCTTTATGCTCTGAAGTTTCAACTTACAATAGATCTTTGAAAAAAACATAATTTATATGTAAACAATGTAGAACTTACTGAGGGTGTTTTTTTATTGTCATGATGTTGAAGATTTTATACAATAAAGATGACTTTTTTTTTAAATTCTTGTGTTTCTTGGCCAGACGTTTTTAGTGCTGTATAATTATTATACATATGTTATATCAAGTGTTTCACTATAACTTACAGTATTAATGACAAAAGCATAATTTACTTTTGAAGTCTGCTGTGTTATACCTAACAGTCAGACAAAGTGACTGTCATGAGGTGACAGACACAGTGACCTACATTTGTAATGGGAAAACGTGTCTGTTTTATAAGACAGGCTCCTTTGACTTTATCAGTGGATCGTTACTGTTGCAGCTTCTTAGTAGTTTGGAAAGGCAGGTTTATGTGTATGGTAAATTTAAACAAAGCAAACATTCAAAGTGTTTTACATGATGAATACATGTAAACAAAAAATTAGCAGTGGCACAAAAAGGAAAGTAACAAAAAGTTGGAATGCAGGTTAAAATAAATTTTGTTTAATATAGATCAAAGGTGAGTAAACAAAGGAGTTTTTAAGAAACTCTGTGTTTAAGCAAATGTGCAGTTTTCTGGATGTTTGTTCCAGAATACAAGCTCATAGAAGCTCAATGCTGCTTCTCCATATTTGGTTCTGGTTGTGGGGAGCAGACCAGAACCAGAACCAGAACCAGAAGACTGAAGTGGTTCTGGATCAGCTGAAACTGTCTGATTCAAATAGGCAGTCTTGTGAAGACACAGTTGCTGCAGGATATTTGGATCTGTTGATAGCTAAGCAACCACCAAACAGTTCGACAGTGTAATTCTTTTTCTCCTCATTAAATGTACCTGGAATCGTAGATTATAACATAGCATAATGCTTCACATGGAACAAATTAAGCTAATAAAAAAAGCGTCCCCTGTGTGCAAGGTGGCCTGTTTTCTACTGTTGTTTTGTATAAAGGTCGTGCATACCATCTAACTATGAACAATATTTCACAATTTAACCTTTTTTGTTTTTCTGTTTCACTGAAGTAATGCAACATTACTCCTCTGTTGACCCTCTAACAATGTTTTCACCAGCTCCGCACTGACAAGTGGCTCATACAAAAGGCTCAACATACGTGCAGTTTTACCTGCTGGTTGCTAATTGCTGCTGGCTAGTCTGAAGGAGCTGAGTGGGGAAGAGGTTTAGGAGGGCTGCTCAGTGAGGAGTAAACTAGGAGGAGCTTCACCCTCCAGGCGCTCGGTTGTACCAGGCACTGAATGGTTGCCACGGGAGACCAAAAGATTTCTCAAACATGCATGAAAGAATCAAAGCAACACACCAGGCATGTTTGATAAGGGAATGGCAGTAAAGCTTGATGCAAATTGATTTTACACAATACTTCCCCTTTAAATCCATTACATGTCATTTAGTCAGATGTCATGATTTCTCTTAAAGTTTAGGTGTAAATAAATTTGCAAAAGCAGACTTCATTTGACTGCAGCTGAACTAATATTCTGAAGAACAAACATAGACACCACAGGCAGGTGTGAACACGTGATTATGTTTCCAAAGTAGGACACATTGCATCACTTTGTGCTAACCAATCAATGGCAGTCTAGACTAGAGGAAAATACTTAAAAGATACTTTCCATTCACCACAATAATCTGAAGACAATGGCATTTGCACATTATGCCTTTTTTTCGACATGCCTTGTGCTATGCTTGGGTGAGTTGTTGGTTTCTTTCTTAATTGGATGTATTGTTGGCTTGATGTCATGTAATGCATAGATTAAATTTGACTGACTTTTAATTTTTGTCACTCTGATTTTTGATTTAGTTCAGGAAACTCACCAGACATCATTTTTATCTATATACCAAGAGAGCAGCTTCTCATCAGCCCAGGTCGGTGACAAAGTGACCTTTCGATGTTTCTACAAAGGTGACGATTCAGCATGGGTCTGCTGGTACAAGCAAAGCCTGGGGCAGAAGCCAAAGCTCATTTCGAGCTTCTATAACTATAGAAGAACAATGACTTTTTATCACGAATTCCAGGACAGTCGTCGTTTCCAGATGGATGCAGAGAATCACACTTACTCCCTGACAGTTTCGGATCTGCGTGTTTCAGACTCAGCGACTTACTACTGTGCAGTTAACTACGCAAAGGTTTTGACTTTTGCTGAGGGAAAAACAGTTAGTGTTAGAGATTCGGGTTCTGGCAGTCAGGCTTCGGTCGCTCAGCCAAAATATGCCACCGTCCCATCGGGAGGCTCTGTGACTCTCAACTGCACTATACAAACTGGGAGCTGTGGTGGAGAACACACAGTTTACTGGTTCAGAACCTCTGATGGATCTACACCAGGGCTGGTTTACGGACACAGAGCCAAGAATGAGCAGTGTGAGCCGAATCCCTACAGACAGACACACACCTGTGTGTATGACCTGCCTGTGGAGAATCAGGATGCGTCTCATGCTGGGACCTACTACTGCGCTGTCGCCTCCTGTGGACACATCGCTTTTGGAAACGGAACCACGTTGAATTTCTCTTTAGGTGAGTTATATTCCTGATGATTTATGAAATGCAGCTGCAAAATACAGTAATGACATCTCTATAAGCATTCAGTTCTTCATTGAGAAACCTGCATTTATCTACTCATGTTTGTTGACTCTCTTAAAAAGAAAGGTTAATTTAAATTAGACGTCCAACATTTCCCTGGCTCTATCCATTGGACAAAAGATCAAATGTTGCTCACTGAGATGCTTCTGGTCTCTGGAATCAAAAAGTCCGACTTTGAGCTGTGAGGTGTTTGAGGGCTTTCCAGTGAGGACGGCTCCTTTCATTCCAGACGTTCTTGTCCTCTGAACAAATTCACACTCACATCCATGTTCCCAACTCTCATGAAAATCAAACCAACTATTTTGGACATTAAAGGAATGACATTCACTATTTCGCGGCTCGCTTTCAGAATGAACTTGTTAGGACAGCCAGGCGTGTTGGCAGCTGCGTGAAAACTTTCCCACAGACAGACTTCCTCAGTGTGTCAGTTGATTTCAAATCTTTAAGACCTTCAAACCTTTTACAAGATTAATAAACCAATACGGTTGTGTTTCTGATGGACTCAGAGTCTGTTTTCATCAGGAACACATCAACCTAAATGTCAGCAGCTAAAACTGAGCTGCCCTTTCTAAATATACTGAATAATGATGTTCCTCTGGTTGACTGATGTGTGTAATTTTAGCCATTTAAATGGAAGTTATAATGGGCATGCTGGTCAGTTTATTTAGTTACTCCAAATATCTTGGTATTACATCCAGGCTGCCGTAGATTACTTATTTTTTTTCACACAATTTTATAGCTACTCAGTGTTTGTATTAAAACACAAAACTAATTGTTTTTATTTCTTGGCTTTTTGCAGGAGAAGGAAACATCTTGTTTTACCTCTTTGTGGGATCTCTGTTTGGGTCTGTCGCCACCGTCCTCGTTGTTTTACTGATTATCTTTGTGAACACGAGAAAGAGAAGAACTCACCGAGCCACGGGTAAAGTGGGAAACATTTATCATTCACTTTATGGCTACTGGAGTGTAATTTTAATTTTTAAAAAGTGTTTAATGTTTTCAAAACTAGAGTCCAGACTGCCTGTGGCCCGCACCATAATAACCGATGTAAGAATAACCAACGAATCACAACCTGAAATTGAAATTATTTTTTATTTATTTGGAATTTTGTTCAAACTTCCGTATTTTTAACCGTCCACCTATAATTATTGTGTATTTCCAGAATGATCACAGAGACTCAAGCGACCTCCACTATGCAGGTATAAGGGTTGAGTCATCCAGCAGATCGCAGAAAAAGAGGAAGAGCAGCCAGTGTGTCTGCGTCTACTCCAGTGTAAACCATGAGAAATAAAGATCCTTTACTATTCAGAATCACTGAGACTTTTCATACGAGGTGAATGTTTTTTGTTCTCTGAATTGAGATAAACTTTGTAAGGCTTAGATAAGACGTCAAATTTATTTCTTTATTTCTTTAGCGTTTTTTTATTTTAACTAAGGCAGCTTTCTAATTTTGTTGTTAGTATTCTTCTGCTCATTTCATATGAATGAGTCAATGAATACATTTTTCTTGGCTTCAATAATATTTCTTTTTGTACACGAAGCTATCTGTGTTTTTCCCACAATAAAGATGTTTCGTTTGTGTCTGCTTGTAGTTTATTAAGGCCAAACTTTTTTTTTTCAACGCTTCAAATATAGATAGCATTACATAAACTTGCTGTTGTTATTTTTGAATTTAATTTTTATTTTTTGACAAGCTCATGAGGAACAAAGATCAGGATAAAATGGGTTTTATGGCACAACACTGAGGTTCACAATAAAAAGTATAAAATAATTCAAATGTGATAGTCAGTCTTTTAAACTGGTCATTGAGTCTAAACATTTGTTTTGGAAGGTTAATTAGAGGTCATTTTACTCTCCAACCAAGTACCTTGTCTGTCATGTCCCTAAATTTTGTGATTTCCAAACTCCTAAAACTGTGAAGTGTCATTTCAGCAATGACACAAATACGGATTCAAAATGTTTTGAGATTTCAATATAGGAACGGTCTACAATGGGAAACATGGTAAAGTCGAATTTATGTGTTTCACATACATATAGATCACAAAGTGCTTCATAAACACAAACATACCAATAAAAAACATTAATCATAAGACTGTCTGAATAAAAAATGGCTTTAGTTGTTTTTTAAGAGTCTGAGCTGCAGGTAAGTCGCCCCCACCTGGTAGAGGATTGTGTTATTGCCAGAGTTTGAATAAAATATGTCATATTAAAACATACGTGTAAATAACAGAAACATTTACGAATGCTGTTAGTGGTAATAGGCATGTAATGAATAAGATACGAACAATGTGTATAAAATAATAGTACAAAATCTTTTATTCAGAAGTTCTGATCTGAACTTATTGCAACATATGAAATAATACTTCAGAAAAGATGGCCTACTTACATCACCCTTAACCTAAGCTGAGATTCATGTTACTTTCTTTAATGAAAAAAAAGATTACTTTAAATTGAAATCTGCCAGGGGTATGAATAAATCTGAACTTAACTTTATGTTTGTGTGTGTGTGTGTGTGTGTGTGTGTGTGTGTGTGTGTGTGTGTGTGTGTGTGTGTGTGTGTGTGTGTGTGTGTGTGCGTGTGTGTGTGTGTGTGTGTGTGTGTGTGTGTGTGTGTGTGTGTGTGTGTGTGTGTGTGTGTGTGTGTGTGAAATGAAGCAAGTTGGTTCAACTGTTTCCTTTTTACAACGTACAATCATGTTCCACGTCAGCAAACAGCTGAATTCTTATTTTTCTTGAAAAAGTATTAAGCATCTCCAGGTAAATGAAATACTCTCCAGATTACCGCATGTAAAACATATATATCTGTCTGTCTACTTTACAGACTCGGTTTTTACGCCTAATACCAGGTTCAAGAGTCATAGAGCACAACTGTGGAGGGAGGCGGCACTGACAATGAGCTCAGAGTGAGACATGCACTCTGACTGGCTAGTCAGACACAGACAAAAAAAAAGGGAGAAAACTCCCTGAAAACTTGTAGTGATGTCTTTTATCACTGCATTTTAAGCACAATGTCTCCTCCAGCCTTTGCTTTGTATTTAGTATCTCTACTCGTTGTGATAGCAGGTAAGTTGAGTTTTTTTTTATGATTCTTTCGTTCTCACCATTCACACCTCCTTCCATTGTAATTTCAACAGATTTCTTGTCTGTCGACATGATTTTGTCTGCAGCTCATAAACCAGTTTTGACACGTTTGTCGTTACTTGTGGAATCAGCTGAAGTTGGAGGCAGAATGGCTTTGCAGTGTCTCTGTGGGGCCGATGCAGCTGTGATGTTTTACTGGTACAAACAAACTCAGGGGAAGGAACCAAGGCTTGTCTGCACATTCTACAAGTATAACAACAACAGCCGTTTTGAAGATCAATTTGATCCTTCTCGTTTCTCTTTAGAAAGTAAAAACCACAGCAACATTTTGCTGAGCATATCCGATTTGAGGATGTCAGACTCAGCAACTTATTACTGTATAAAGAGCGACTTAGCTAACATCAAGTTTTGTGAGGGGACTACACTCACTGTGAAAGGTTCAGGACTAAACCTCCCAACATTACTCCAACAGTCTGAGACGGAGCCCATCCGATCACCGGACTGCTCAGTACAAACTGGGAGCTGCGGTCCAGAGCACAGTTTTTACTGGTTCAGGAACTCTGGAGAATTCCACCCTGGCTTGATTTACAGCCAGACGGGCGATAAGAATCAGTGTGAGAGGAAACGCAAGACATCAACAAACAGCTGTACTTTCAACCTGCCAGTGAAGAACCTGAATAAGTCACAAGATGGAGCCAATTTCTGCGCTGTTGCTTCATGTGGACGCATCCTGTTTGGAGACGAGACCATCGTCCACTCTGAAGGTAGGAAAGTCGCCTCAGTTCAAGAGTACATTTTATCACCAAGTCCAAACATCCAGCTTGCTAATTTCATTCTTGATAACTGTACATGATTCCACTCTGTGAGGTTTAATTTGAGATGCTTTGGCGTTCCGGTGCCCTGTAGAAATAATAACTCCAGGCCTTCACTTATTTAACAGCATCCAGATTCTGTAGCTCTTTTTGTAAATTGTTATCAGTCAGTGAGTTATTTACACCTGACCCACTGAGATGTTTCTAGTACTTTCATTTGAATTCAAATTGTTCATCCAAGCAATTGTACCAAGATTATGGGGTATGGGTGGCTTTTTTGTTGTTGTTTTTTTTTTGTATTTTACTCTTATAACATTGTATGGGTGCAAGCTGTGGGTTGATGGTCTAATAGTACATTTAGCCTATCAGATCTGTCTATCTATCTATCTATCTATCTATCTATCTATCTATCTATCTATCTATCTATCTATCTATCTATCTATCTATCTATCTATCTATCTATCTATCTATCTATCTATCTATCTATCTATCTATCTATCTATCTATCTATCTATCTATCTATCTATCTATCTATCTATCTATCTATCTATCTATCTATCTATCTATCTATCTATCTATCTATCTATCTATCTATCTATCTATCTATCTATCTATCTATCTATCTATCTATCTATCTATCTATCTATCTATCTATCTATCTATCTATCTATCTATCTATCTATCTATCTATCTATCTATCTATCTATCTATCTATCTATCTATCTATCTATCTATCTATCTATCTATCTATCTATCTATCTATCTATCTATCTATCTATCTATCTATCTATCTATCTATCTATCTATCTATCTATCTATCTATCTATCTATCTATCTATGTGAAATATAAAGAGCATATAGCACACTTAATAGTTTTTTTTTCCACTCTTGGTTGCTGATTTTGTGCCACATCTTGTTCTAATTTTCATCTTCTTCCTGCAGAGGGTGTAAAATAGTGTGGCCCCTTTGTCACAGAGGGACAGATTAAACTTTTCTGTTCTTGCAATTTCTTTGTGAACGTGGAGACATCATCCTGAATATTCAAACCAATAAGTGTTGTGTTTTCTGCTGCTCGTCTCCCTGCAGGTGCCTCTGTCTCCATTGTCTTGGTTTATCTCCTGAGTGGAGCTTTGTCATTCTCCATCCTGCTGGCAGCTACACTGGCCTTCTCAGTGTTAAGACTGAGCAAAATACACAGTCGGCAAACAGGTCGCTGCTGTAATTTGAAACTCTGTGTAGCTGTTACACAGTATGGAAGTGAGAGTAAATGTGATTTTATCATCCTTTACAGATTGCAGTGACACATTTCCTCCAATTGCTAAGGTAAAAATCATCTCCTCTAGAGAATTAAAGTCTATTTCTGTTTCAGTGCTGCATTTCCTCTGTTTTCTCTTTCGTATGCAGCAGCTCCAAGGTGGAGAAAAGCCCCAATATGCTGCTGTGAACAATCTGAAACCAAACATGTCAGGAGGAGCAAAGGAGAGCTTCAGTGAATGTGTCTACTCTGTTGTCAGGCAGTAGAGTTCTGTAGGTGGCGCTCATGTTGATGATTGTGATTTTGTCTTTATCTGACTTTATCACAGGGTATAAAGGTGATATGTAAACTTGTAATAAAGTTTTTCCCAAAGCTAACACCTGCTGTCTTTGATACAGAAAACTTGAATGTGTTAAGGATTTTGAGACACTAAAAAATGTAAAAACAATAATTGCAACATGTCCGATGTTAGATCTATAAGCTGATAACCTTTGAACGTTTGGGACTGAGACATTACCACACATATCCAGCTCAGTTGGTCCACTTAGTATGGAAATATTACATATTCAGTTACATCTGAATCAGAATAATCTTTATTAAAATGGACACTTTGCTTGACTTTTTCCTGAATTTTTCCTCTGTGGGTCAATAAAAGATATTTCTAATTTATTCAGTAAAGAGATATTGTTTTGATCGCTTCAAATAAATGTTTAGATTCATCCCAATTATGTACACTGTGTAATAAAAAAGTTGAGATTTTTTAATAAGTTGCTCAACATGTTTATTCAAATATTTCTTATTTGATTTGAGCAATTGGTGTAGATGTAGGACATTAATTCACTGTCAAAGGTTTTCACTAAATGACTAACTCGAAACTAACTGGAAAGAAACTACAGTGCCAGAGAATGACTGGAAGACGGGAGGATAAAAAGAACAGACTAGAAATTAGAGAATGTCAGAGGAAAAAATAAAATTAGAGGAGTGGGAATTGGAAGGTCAGAAAAATGGTGAGAAAGAAGGACAGAAGTAAAGAAGAATAGGAAGCATGAATTCCACAACATGACCAAGAAAGAAGAAAGGATGGAGCAAGGAAGAAAGGAGTGGAGGAAGGAAGGAAGGACACAAGAGAAGAAGAAACTAACCATATAATCAAAGAAGGTGGGAAGGTTAATGAACCTGTGAAATCACTACTTTTGGATGGGAAGTACTCCAACAAAATTATTGTTGTTTTTTTTTCAAGGTATTTCCTTCACAGCCAGACTTTAAGTTAGTCTGATTTATTACGATGAAATGAAATGTAAAGGAATGAAAAGCTACAGGACTGAACTAATCCAAACCCCAGTTGCTGTTAAATACACTTTGGAGGCAACTTCTACTGATAACCAGCAATAATAAACTTTATATAACTGCTTTGGCAACGCTTCAGTGAGAAGAAAAAAATCATTTTAACTTTGACTTCTCAGGTGATAAGTGATCACTGGCTACATTAAAGACTTGTTTTTCCCTTCTAGCTGCTGAAGATAAAATAAAAATAATGTGTTTAAACGTAGTGAAATAAAAATGTAAACTCTTGGATCAAACAGAAAAGTGCAACATAGTTTCAAAAACTGAATAGCAACAGCAGGTGAAATGATTTATTTTGATTTCGTTTGTGGCTGCTATGTAAAACTACATAACCCAACATGCAACACTGGACTTACTGGCTCTTTCTGATGTAAATGCAAACACAAATGATGATAAAGAGCAACAGAATCCCACTTCTGAACACTGAGAGCCAGAGGAAGGTTCCAGTCTGGGACAGCCGTTCTTCAGCATGGCGTCCGATGAGCAGCTCGCTCCCAGAACCAAACAGCATCTTCCCACAGGAAGCAACAACACAGTAATACGTTCCTGCATCAGATGAGCTCAGGTTGTTCTTCTGTAAGTGGTACACACAGGTCTGTGGGGACTTTTGTTGAGCAGGGGTCATTTCACATTGGCTCGTGTGTGTGTTGAGAACTGCTTGGTAAGTTCCTTGCCGGAACCAGAGGACAGTGTGTCCTCCTTCACATGCCCCAGCGTCCACCGTACAGTTGAAGGTCACTGAGCTGCCAGGCTGCAGGGTCTCAGAGTTTGGCTCTTGGACTATTTCCACATGGTTTGTTCCTGTAAACAAATCCCATTCCGAGTTATCTGCTTATGCAAAACTCAAGTCACTTGAGAAACCTAAAATCAGGATTTACTTTACCAAAACTTAAAGGAGATTAAATAACTTGATAACCTTCTGTTTATTAAGGTCGTGTACAGTCTTGTTCATGAAATAAATAAGATTCAGACAACGGATTATGGTTTTGATAGTTGCTGACTTACGTATTTTGAAAGAAAAGTTTAACAAATAAAGTAGAAATACTGGAAATACAAGTTTCCCTTTGGTGCCAATAGTATCACAATTATGGTTGTTACTTTAAAATCTTACCTAGGTGCTTCCTCCTAATTATGCAAATATGACTTCAATTCAAAATGAAACTATTTCATTGGGCAAAATCAGTTTCACCACTGAATTGATCTCAGCTGTTTGCAACAGAACCTTGGTTCGGATGGAAGGTTGGAACTTGCAAACGCCACATTCACTTCCATTTGGACGTGTGAAGTCCATGGACGTCTTTGAAGTTTTAAGCAAATGTCCAAAAATGTGTGTGTTTGTGTGTGTGTGTGGTGTGTGTGTGGGGAGTCGGGGGGGTGCATGCGTGTGTGTGTGTGTGTGTGTGTGTGTGTGTGTGTGTGTGTGTGTGTGTGTGTGTGTGTGTGTGTGTGTGTGTGTGTGTGTGTGTGTGTGTGTGTGTGTGTGTGTGTGTGTGTGTGTGTGTAAAAGGAAGACAGAATAGCATGGAAAGGGTTTGTGTTGCAGCTGGCCTGTCACACTGTGCAGTGCAACAAGGGAAGAAGTGGATTGGCTCGCTGACAATAACAAACATCAACATACAACAGGTAGCAATAGAAAGTCCTCTCACAGGTGGACAGAAAAACGCAAAAAGCAAAAAACAAAAAACAAAAACTTTTTTCATGATTCTCTGTGTCCTTTGATCATTTAGCAGTTCTACGCTCAAGTCGCACTACAAAAGGAATGAGGAAGACCTGCATTCTCAGCCTCAACAACCCAACATGTGGAAGCAGCTCATTGCCTAAGAACCAACCTAAATCACACCATGAGTTCAAGTAGTATTAGTTAAAATACCAGTCAAAGGCCTTAGTAGTTTGATTTGCAGCCTCTAGGGGTTTGACTATAACTTTTCAACATCCTTAGCAAAGTTACAATGGAGCTCATGACCTTCAGACTCCTGACCTTCGGTGAACTTGGCCAAAACTCGAGCTGTTTCCATTACAAATGTGCGCAAACCTTTGACTAGATTTAAAACAGTACAGCTTCATTCTTTAACTAAGAACTAAACAATATTAAAAAAAGGAAATACCAAACCTACAACATTCAAAAACAACCCTTCCCCAAACTCCACCGAGTTGGTGTAGGAGCTTCCACAGTAGTATGTTGCTGAATCTGAGAGCTGGACGTTGGAAATGTGTAAATGATTAATTCCTTCACTTCTTTCCACATAGAAACGGGGGTTCTTCTCCAACCAGTGGAAGACTTTGGATGGTTCGTCGAATTTGTAAATGCTAGACAGGAGCTCCGGTCGTTTCCCTAATTTTTGGCGGTACCAGGAGAAGTGCATCGCAGACTGGCTGCTGTAGAAGCAGCGGAGCTGAACATTTTCCCCGGCGATGGCAGATCTCACGCCACTGTCTTGTTTGACTGGTCCTGACTGGATCACAGCTGTCAAATGAACTGGGCCAAGAGGACAGATGATAAGCTTCAGATATTTCCCAGTAGGTTCCTGGATTACTTGGTTCATACTTACAGACTCCACAGAGAATGGCGCACAGCCGCATCGTCTCAGAGCTCCTCGGGACTAAATCATTTTGAGCAGAACAGCAGACAACAGCATACAAAAACGGGGTTACATTTGATTGGCTGTTCGAGAAGTCAAACTGCGTTTCATTTCAAAACCTGAGACCGAGCAGGAAACAAATCAGCCAACGCAAGCAAATGTGGAGGAAAAAATATTTTGAGAAAGTCCCGTCCAAAACCATTAAGTTGAAAAAAAACAAACTATGGCTAATATTAATATTATACAATATCACAAAATAAAAAAATATTCATTGCAATTGACATAATTTAAGACGATGCAGTTGGGTAGCAGCAAAGTTACCCATCCTGCTCTGAAAACATTCGCTCTTTGTTGTTCAGGTCAGCATAATTGGCTCTTATTAAGGACCGCAGAATTATGACATATTAACCTCATTTAACAGTGACAGTAACAAAAACCATGCACTGTGTCATTATGTGTTGCTAAGAAACATTTTTACTTCTTTCTGTGTCACAAAAGGTCAGAAATATGCTGCGAGTTTCATGTGCTAAAAAAAAAATAAACAGTTCAATAATTGCAAAAACAACTGCATGTACTGTTTTAGACACCGACGATAGTAAGACCATTTATGATGCAGTTGTTGGAACTATTGAACCTGTTAAGCTGTCACTATTTCTGCAGCTGTTACCGGTATGCTGTCAAGACAACTGCAGGTGCTGCCCAACACACAGCCATCATCAGCACTGTTTGGTCCGCTTTAATCCAACTCTAGTCCATTTGTTTGAGGAGGTGTGAATGTGTGATCAAACTTCGATGTAGACCAAGAAAGCGAACACTGGTGTTGGTTCGCTACAAACGCAGTAAGCGGACTAAAGCGCAGGGGTTTCTGGGAAAATAACCTGCCAAAGCATACTCGTGAGTCCAGCACCAGGGGGAGAAATGGCTCTTGGTCTTTTCACAAGAAAAAAAAAGAAATCCTGCAACAGCTAAAATCTGACGCAGTTCTTCTTGGTTTATATTTTCTGAAGAGGGAAGTTGTGTCTTCTCCAGAGGTTTTTGAGTTGTTTCTTTCAGTGGTTCTTGGTGCTCCCTTCAGGAGAAGGGATTTCTGAAAAGTCCAATAATGTCTGTAATTAAATATGAACCCTCTGTTAATAATGTCGCCATGGTTTCTCCAAGTTTTCTCAAAGCGAAGCACATTGTCTGTGATGTTGCTTTTCTGTTGTCAGTGCTGAGCTTCACAAACCTTAAAGAACAAAGAGAAAGTCACTGCAGCAATGTTGACTGAGATTGTTTTGATTTTTGTGAAGCCCAGCAGAGTGATTTGTGTGAAATGTAGGTTGAATACCGCCCCCTGGTGGCTAACTTCTCCACTTCTTTAAAATGACTGCACAGTCAAAGAGTCTTGTGAGTCTATTTTACAAAGTCAAAGCATCAAACGAGAGAAGTGAGGAAAACATGGATGAATGAAAGTGATGATGAGAATATTGCTGCGCAAGAGTTTTGAAGGTTTGTCTTTATTATACCTCAGGTGTCTGATTTGGTCTTACTATTGAACTTGGAGTTAAAACAAAGGAAAAGGTCAGATCAACATTGTTGTGTGAGGCCTTAAGGGAAAAGATGAGGAATTGAAACAGGTCTCAAAATAATTTAAAATTAGACCTTTTACTTGAGGAAATAAGTCAATATGTTGAGGACATCCAAATCACCCGCCAAGTCTGACCAAACTGTCCAAACACCAAAAATCCAGATATAAATGGGATCCCATCTGTAAAGCTGTCTAGTCAAAAATGAAGAGCAATAATTTGGCTTCTTTATCCTGTCATGACAGAAAAGATATATTTTCACCATGTTATCCATTAATTTATAAATGTCCCCATTTCAAACCATTTAACTATTTTAATGAGAGATAAATATTTAACTTAAAAGGTAAATATTTAGCTAATATATAGAAATAATTTATTTTTAATAATTGATTTATCCTGAAGAGGAAAATTTAGTAGAACCAACAGTTCTACTAAATTAAAATACCAATTCTACACATGGTATCAGAGAATTAAAAACAAGAATAAGGAGTTGATGTAGGTTCTAGCTTTTATTTTGATAGTCCACCTACCTGCAGACCACAGGTAAGTGGACTCTAGGTACCATTACCACATAGAATTATCACAGTAAATATTTACCTCTAATATAAATGCCATGTAATGTATGTAATGTATGTAATGTGTTAACTATAAAAATATAGACAGCTTGCTAACTATATACTTCAAACTGTATATGTGGCTAGTAAACTGAACACTTAGCTTGTAATAGCTTGGCTTATTAAATGTCTAATATTTGTCTTTAAGCTAAATATTGCTCATTGTTGCCAGCTCCATGATGTGTTTCTTTTACACTCACCGAACGAAGCTGAACAAGCATCCAGGTAAATTTCTCCAGTGTGCTTCAGACCTTTTCGGCCTTTTCTTCCTTGATGACTGTTTCATGGAAAATGTGTTGCGCGGTGGACGACTGCAGGCAAATGTGAGCATTGAACCCAGGTTTGACTTTTCTAAGCAAATATCTTTATTATAAGACACCACTCAATCTTCATGACGATGCAGAGATTTTTTTTTCTTTATAAACAAGTTGTTTAGGTCTAGCAAGTTGTGAAAAAGTTTGATAATTTTTTTGTCACTTCAGAAACACAGTATATTTCAAGTCTATTTTTAAAGGGTGTGTGATGATGAGAGATGTTATTTTATCACACTGAAATTAGGACAAAATATAGAAGTGAAGGGAGATTATGCAAAATAACACGGACAGTAGCAACTGAAAAGCACTTTATGATGTTCACAAATGAATTGGATATGTATGTTTTTTACTAACAGAGTAATTGGATGGGTGGGTGGTGGATGGGGCAGAGGGACAAGGGTCAGAGTTTTGTTTTGTTGGGGACAACATAATCAGAACCAGGTCTGCAGAGAGAAGAAGTAATTAGGGAGGAAGGTCATCTATGTTAAGATGTTAAGGTCCTACAGGTCAGTGATGGAGGCTGCAATCTTAAGTGATATCAATACTACTTCATGGCACAACTCTAAAAAAAAAAAAAAAAGCGAAAAAGTCCCTTTAAACCAAATATGAGCAGCTGTATTTCCATTAAATATAGAATTGTGGTGTAGTGGGAGAAAAAAGGACTGGATGCCTTTTTGTATTTGCTCACTGAAGAAGATGGAAGAACCTATGAGAAATATATAATAGCAAATTTTGCAACATTCTGAAATCCTATCCAGCATTAGTTGCAATGTCAAACAGCAAAAAAATAAATAAATAAAAACTGCAACATACTCAACAGTCAGTACAAGTTACACAAAATATTCCTAAATGCAAATGAACCCACTGCCATGCATCACTGCTCGAAAGTGGAACAATCCATGACGTTTGTCTTTAGACTCACTGAACAAACTCAAACCTTTCTAGGTAAATTCCACTTATCCCTCATAGTTCTAATGACTGTTTTAGGAAAAAGTGTTACATGGCGAATGACTGTAGGGAAATGTTAGTAATAAAGTCATCATCCAGGTTTGTCTTTGAATTCTCTTTTCTGAGATAATGCCTTGCATTAAAAATATGATACTGCACACAATTTCGATGAGGAGATTTTATCTGAAACTCCAGCTGTTTGAGTTCAGCCCAAACCTGCTTTCCTTCCACTCTAATTGGGTGCTGCTAAAGGTACATCTTCATACATTTCTGTGGTTTTAAAACCTCTGTCCCTCTTGATCCTTTGGCTCATCTTTAGATTTATTATGATTGTCCATCTACAGTCAGAACAGCATAACTTAGAGAAAAACACGCAGTGACGTGAGTGTGAGAAATCAGATCCCCCTCCCTCAAATTTAACTATTTCAATCAATCCCTTTGCAGAAATCTTTTACCATGTCTTTAAACTGAGCTCAAATGTTTTATCGGGAGATGACATTTTAATAGACATTAAGCTAGGTGTTGTTTTAAAGGCTCGTGAAATAGAATTAGGATGATTGCAAAGATGTTTTTGAGATTAGAGTTGTTGGACAAGGGTACAGAAGTCTGCTTTACTCTCAGTCGTTCTAAAGCCATCTCATCAGTTTTATTTCTGAATTTAAAAGACAAATATAGCAAATATAGCAAAATCAATCAGTAATGTTAGGCAGGTATTTAGGCATATTAGCTGAACTCTGGAGAACATAACTGCATAAATCTCTCTTGTTCGGTTAAACTTAACATATGAACATTTGACAATCAGGAAGTAAGAAAGTTAAAAGAAGTATTACAAGCTTTACATTTGTACAAGTGATTACTTTATTGAAATAAATGAGTAACCTAATCACAGACTAAACATAGGAATACAAGGGGAAAACAAGGTTTTGTTTTACACAAACTGATACAGAACACCTGCAGAGAAAAAATATGTCAACATCTATTCATGAAGGTCAAACATAATTTATTACAAATTTTGCTCCATCACTCTTTTGCGTTTCACCCACAGGACTAATGCTTTTTTCAAATAAAGCAGAATTAATTTGTCACACTTAACATTCACATCTTCAGTTTATTTGCTTGCCTTCCACAGTCTAAGCAGTACATGTCAATTTATCTGTGGTTCTGAAAAATAGTCTCTTTAATGGCTTCCGTATCATGGATGATAAACTGTCAGCCTCATAATTCGTAATCACAGCTTTTGAAGCTTATAAAAGAATGGAGATGATTAACTCCTAAAACGTTCAAGCCATAAAACACATATTTACTGGATAACAGAAATGTGCAACCTTTTTAGACTCTTAAATGCATCTGTAAATATATACTTCTATCTTTAATTTGTTTTAGTTTTCATGCTGTTGCTTTATTTGAAACTCTATCTGTACAAAATATATATTTTCCAATGTGTGTTTTTTTTTATATGACTCACATCAAATGGATGCTGTAGACAAATTGGCATTTTAAAGAAAAAAAGACTACGTTAATGAACATTTTCCTGTATTAAAATCTGGCAACAAACAATGAATCTCGGGTTTATATCTTAAGGAAAAGGCTTCACTTCCTTCTTGAAGACTTCACCATCAGGCTGCTCTCTCCACTTTAGGTTTATGTTATTCACTCCGTTCTCCTTCAGCCTGTCCTGGAGCTAGGAGACATAGATAGCAAACATTTTAAAAAGCATTCGTTTACAAAAAAAGAACAACCCTCAAATCCAAAGCATGATAAATACAACAAATATCGAGCCCTAAAAATCCCAGCCTTGCCTTTTTAAGGATGCTCTCTTTCACAACAGCCTCATTGAGATTCACAGAGTCCTCAGTCGTCAGTCTCAGCTTCATGCTCTGCTTTGTTCCTGTTTTGAAATAAAAAAAGAGATTGAAGTTGTGACTAGTAGTCTCTCACCAATTTTTTGTATGCAAATTAGGTAAGTGCCATGAATGCAGCCTGTTTATGCCGGTTACATTAAATGGTCAATGTTTTGTTTAGTTTTAGAAGATGGTAAACTCGGAATGCATTCTGTAGATCTGATAGTGTGATCTAACTTCTTTATCCTGTGATGTTAATAGGTAATTCGCTCAAATAAGCAGATTAAAATATACTTTCTGTTGGTGCTCTTTACTGTTTTTTACCTTTACTTTTTTGTTTCACGATGGTTTTCCTGGGCATGGAAAGGGCAAACTGGCTTGGTTAGTTCAGTGCTAACTTAACTTAGCTGATCGTTACTGATCAACTAAGATCAAGCACTTGTTCTCTCTCTTGCTGTCTGTATCAGATGTTTAACTTAATTGGTCCTCTGCCTCCATTAGTAATAATAATAGTTGTAATAAATGTAGAATTTTTGTGGCTCTGGGGGAAAGGGCATATTTTTGTGTAAAGTGCCACAAGACGACATATGTGACTGTTAGTTGGTGCTATACTGCATAAACACACCAAATTTAAATGTGTGCAATGCACACAATTTAGACTCAATACTTTTTTTTCCCTTACCATGGAGTTTTTGTGTTTGATTTAGAGCATAAGCAAAAATGAAAATCAGTCTAAAAATGTCATAATTGAAACACTTACGGTTGGGGATATGGTAGCAGACAACAGGTAATTTTGTTTCACAGGACAAAAAGCCCCATTTTCCCTTATTCCTTGCAGATGTTATGCCACAGATAATAGTCATTGAGTCAATTGGATTGTAGCCATTATCCCAGTTGTTGATGCCATCAGACCAGAATAGGTTTGGAGATCGAAAGAGGCCAATCCACGAGTAGACTCCAGTCGGCACCAATTCCTCGACCATCCTGTTCTGTAGATCACTGCTTACTGTAGCCAGATCTATGAAGTTCTCCCTGCAGTACATCTGGGCATCGGTCCAATTCATTTCTTTCTTCACATAAACATATGCAGGATCCAGCTGTGTGCCTGTCGTTTAAAAGAAGTCAGAGGTCAGTAAGTTGTTGACATCCTGTTTTAGAATAATGCTTTTGAAAAATCCTGCTAGACATGATTACCATTGTAACAGAGAACTGAGTAATTCATCGCACAGTAATCATCCGACCACAACCCAGCGCCATCAATAGTCACACAGAACTGACTGGCTCCATCAAAATTTGGCTCATTAAAAATGATTTCCCAATTGCTGTAATTAGCACCAGCCCCTTCGAAGCCATCAGACCACATCCAGTGGATTACACTGTAGAGACCAATCCAGGTGTCAGATCTGTGCCAAGCAGATGAAAGCGTGTCCATGAGCCGGGTCAGTTCTTCAGAGTCCTGGATTGTGGCGATGTCTGTATACGTCTGTCTGCAGTAGGCCTGAGCTTCAGTCCATGTCAGAGATTTATCAACAAAGTGGTACTGACGGGGAAGGCTGCCAGAGAGGACGAGGCAGGCTGTAAAAAAGTAGGCATTTTAAAATTTTGAAAATAGTCAATGTTTTATTTTCGATAGAAATGTACATAAAAATATAGAAATACCTGAAAGAAACAAGACTAGCAAGATCCTCTCCATTGTGAGTCGACACCGTGGACTGCAGAAGAAAACGCCGCCTTTCTCAGAGCAGTCTGGGAAAATGAAAACCCTTCTGTGTGCTTTTTGACCATTTGTCTTTTGGTATGCAAAACATGTTGCAGCAGGCTCCAAGAAAATGTTTGAATTGAAACTACGGACAAGATTTGCAACTCGAGTTCATCGTACCTATGCTTCATAACCAAATGATCTACATGACAGAAACAACTCTCACTCGTATGCATCATTATCCACATGCACAATGCAAAACTCCAGAGCTGCAATTTTGTTACATACATACTCATTTAGGATTTGCAAAAAACATGCAGAAATTTTACGAAGATGCTGCATGCAGACAAACAGCTGTAGACCTAAATCATGGAACAGATATTAAATTAAACATTCATAAAATAATCTGTCAATGTTGTAGAACTCCACCATAGTTATTTGTAATGGTTGAAGAGATGCTGTCCATTATAATTGAAAACGGTGGAATAAGCAAGCCAGTAATAATAGTCGCATGGCGGATGATACAGTCCTTCTCTTGAAAAGTCAAGATCAAATCCCTTTAGCTCTTCAAACTCTGGACTTCAACTAAACTTAAATAAATCTGAGCTGTTTTCCCTGAAGATCATCATCTAAAATACTACAACTATTACTTAGTTGGAACTAATGACAATTGTAAGTTGATTCTAAATAGGTAGAGAGCTTATTTTTTGTCAAGATAGTGGTCTCTCCAGATTTGTCTTTGCGACTTTTCTTTCTGCATCGACCAAGATCATTAAGGATATTAAATAAATTGCAATTTTATGAGGAATAAAAATCACAATATGTGAAAAGATCAACCCTGATCTTTTCACATATTGTAGGTGGAAGAAATGGAATATATTTTGAAATTATGAAAGGTATTTTGAAATGTATATGGTTAAAAGTTTATGTAAATGTGGCAATACTGATGAAACTCAGAAATAGTATGCAATTTCAGTTTCTGGACCCAAATATTAAGTTGCTCAACAACACCACCCTTGGAATGTTACTTTCTGTAAACGGTTAAAGGATTTTTGATTTTAAAAAAAGGGGTATCTTGTTATTTTGAGGTGTTACAATGAGATGAGATAATGTGTAATGAGTATCTCAATACAATGGGATTGTTCCAGAAACAGACTTCCATAGAAATTTGTCTTTTTTGCTTTCTAGTAAAGAATTTCCTTATCGTTTGCAAAAAGATCCTGTCGCGGCCATTTTTCCCCCCAGCCCCCTTTATTTTCTGTGTTTTGCATTGTTACCAATTATTCTTCGGTTTTATTTTGAAAGGTAGTCGGAAGTGGCCCAACGTGGGAGTGTCACTGAGTGCGGCAGTCAAAGGTTCCCTGCCTATTCGGCTTTATTTGAAAGCGAATAAAAATACCGTTATCGCAGCTGAATTTAGCCCGCGAGTCATGCTGACCTTTCGCTCTGTGTGGACTCTGTGTGTCCTGGCTCTCCTGCTGCCGCTCGGAGGTAAGAACCCTCTGTCACATCTTAATGCAGCTGCGGCAGCGGCGGCGGCGGCGGCGGCCCTCTTTGTGCCGTAGCAGGTTGGTGAGGTTGGGCGCACGAGGTACAGTTATGCGCCTCAGAAACGCACGAGCTTGAAACGATCCGCCTGCTATCATCCATTTGATTGTTTTCTCTTTTTTTTCAGCAAACCGTAATAGATCCGACACTTATAGGATATTGAATTGATTATAACAATTTGGTATTAAACCTCCGGTTTGTGCAAATACAGAGAAGGTATGCTGACAGAGCAAACTAGAGCAGACCCTGTGCAGTGACGTGTGGTGAGGCACCTTGAGGAGGATAAAGTAGGGGTGTCCGACCTTTCACACACCAATTACTTCTATTTTTTCTCACCAGTCGGCTGAGAAACGACACGAAGATATCTATCTATCTATCTATCTATCTATCTATCTATCTATCTATCTATCTATCTATCTATCTATCTATCTATCTATCTATCTATCTATCTATCTATCTATCTATCTATCTATCTATCTATCTATCTATCTATCTATCGAATACACATCAGTTTTAGCAGACATTTTAAATTGATAGACTTTCACACTGGTTGCAGGTGTCAATCAGTTATGATCGACCTAAAATTTGGTTCAATGATCTAAATGTGAGCGAATACAGACTAACAGGAAGAACCAATTAGGGCCCCTGAGCACATCTTCTGAAGTCGGGATATTTTTCCTCCAGAGTGAAGCATCTTGCCTGATGTTGGACTGGATTTCTGTTTCGTTGTCATTTGTGAAAGTTAGCTCCTCGTTTTCAACAGCAGAGCTCTTCTGGACTGAAAAGGGTTGTCAGTTTGGAGAAAATCTCATCAACATTAATAGTTACACTAAATGGGATGGGGAATAGATTCCCCATCTATTCCCCTGGATAGATGGGGAATAGGTCCCCCATCTGGATAGATGGGGGAATAGGTCTGTTGCAAATTGATAGACCTATTTGCAACAGGTCTATCAAACCTGTTGCAAATAGGTAGCATCAGGTTTGATAGAGGAAAAGTCAGGTAAACGTCCCTCACAAACTCAGTGCTCAAGGCAAGGTGCCAGAGAGCACCAAACTCCATTTTCTTTTATATTGAACAATTAATTTAATTTTACATAGTTGTTGCGATAGGAGTATAGCTTGTTAAATAAATATCTTGTCCTATTTGATGTCAAATGTTTGTTGTGAATATTGTAACGTATATTCACAAAACGCAGTAATTAGTCCCATTTTGTCATTCATTGAGTTATCAGAAATGACAGTGACTGCAGTGTGCTAAACAAAGGTAAGGTAAAGCAGAACAGATGAACAACAACAAGTATGGTTTTACTCTCGGTCGGCTTTACTCCAAAGCCATTCAGTCCGTGAATGGCTTTGGAGTAAACAAAGCCATGGTGAAAACAATGGTGAGGTTTTATTGTCTGATCTTCTTTGTTCTAAAACGGATGGCTTGCAGACCTTCAGCCTTTTTGTGTATGCTGGTGTGTCCACAGAGGTCACTCCAGAGGTCGGCACCATTGCAGAAATAGTCAGTGCCGTTGGCATGGCGCTGGTGGGGGCCATCACCAGCTACAAAGCTAATGTAATCTAGTAAAGGCCTTGACTTGATGAAAGGGTATTCTCTTTACCAGACCAGTAATCCCTGTAGTTGTAGCTTCCCCTCAAATGAAGGATGTCCTCCCCTGAGGGGACACTGAACTGTCCCAGATGACAGTTCACTGTGAACTGTCATCTGGGACAAAATAGTCAGATGTGTAATTTCTGTTTTTCTCTTTCATGTCCTCTGTTCTAAAGTCCTGTCTCAGCTCAACTTCGATCTGACTGATGCTTTGGATGATGACAACTTGAAGCCATGTAAGTAGACTCTTGACCATCTTTATTTATTTTTCTGAATTAGTAAAATAGGACTTGCTTTATGTTGGCATTACCTTTGTTTGCTTTTCACATTCAAGTAGTTCTATTTTGTGCAGGTTTGGGCATTTTAGGCTATCCCTAGTGGTTCATCCCCTTTGTGTGCAGTGCAGAACTGAAAACCTAGTACTGGCCCATCCTGTTATGTGGGCCAGTACTACATAGCAGGTGGGCTGCTACACCTACATATCAGGTGTAAGTGTAGCCCCACGTAGCAGGTGGTACCAGCTGTTATGTCCATCTGAGTCTGTCCAAATTATGGTGAAACTGGACAATCAGCTCCCAGTTTTCTCCAGCAATCCGCAACATAAGAACAAGAATGAATAATGAGCAAGATGTCCATGATCCTCTTCTGCTCGACCTGCCAGACCAGCATGACCTATGACCTTCATGCCATTTGTACAAGTGGCCTTGTTCCAGACCACGCCGTGGATCAGGACGGGAGGCTTGCTGCCCTGGAGGCCTCAGTTAACTCATTAGATGTTTTACTGAGCACGTTACCAAGAAGTGTGAAGACTTGGAAGATCGCTTGATATTAAATAATAAACAGCTGGTGGGCGTATCGGAGGGATTAGAAGAGTTTCTCTGTCCTTGCTTCAGTATTTGCTTGGCCTTGATGCTGATCAATCCTCGTTCGGACCCGTCGTACAGGTCAAGCCAACTGAGTGGGACCCCAGAGCCTGTTGGTTGTTGTGTTGGTCAACCTGTTTCAAGTACGGAATGAGAGGCTATCAAAGGCACATTGTGTTTGGGCACTACAACACAATCAATATATAATATTTAATTTACTGCTCCTGAGAGTCTTTTCAATTCAATTCAGATTCAAAAACACTTTACTGTGATCCCAAACGAACATTTCTGGATAGATGGGGGATATAGTTCCAGTTGTTATTTGATTTCTGTGATTTTGTTGACACAAGCCAGCTGGCCTTCATGATACTCTGTGCAGTTTAAACATCTGCTTTAGATCAATTTCTCACAAACAGCCACAGTCTGTATAAAGCCTGTCCTGTCATTCTGACAGCAGCCTCTGTTGGACCAAAGCCAGAAGCACCAACTCGAGGAGCAGAACAAAGTAAGAAATGTGTCACATGACTTTTGTTTGACTTTCTTAAGTGTGTCATTTAAATTCACTTTAAAGTCAAATATTCACTTTGGGATGGAGTATGGTCTTCCCAGAAATATTTTTGACTTCATTTAAAACAAAATGTGACCCAGGTGTGTAGAAGATGAATCACTGTGCTGAAGATGTGCCGTATCTTCAAGATGTTTTATCTCACGTTCACAAGCTTATTTCAGTTCTGAAAATGACTGGAAGTAACGAGCTTCTAGTATAATACGTTATATTCAGAACAATCACACTGGAGTGTGATTTGATCACCACACACTAAAAGTGCTGGTCATTTGAAGGACAAACTACATAAGCATATTCAACTTGAGGATTTCCATGTTTCCAGGAACATACAGTTGAACTCATGAGTTTACAGAATCTATAAGATACTTTTTTTTTTTTTTTTTGCTATTTACTAAAGAGTATACATAACAAAAAACATTTTTTTTCACTTATTGTTAGTGGTTGGAGGAACAAAATGAACC